CAGAACCAAAACCAGCAACTTTGGAAGCTGATCCATCAGCAATCCGAACAGTGAGGGTCGGATTACATGGCCGGTAATCCATTAATAAGGAGACATCCCCAGTCATATGATCGGAGGCACCTGAGTCAACAATCCAGGGGTGAGAAGAGGTTGAATCCAAGACAAAAGCAGACGGAGAAATACCTTGATAGGTAATAAGGTCGGTAGCACCTGATGCCACACTAGTAGGCTGGACTGGTGACAACTGGCCGAGCATCTTCTAGAGGGCATGAATCTGTTCTTCGCTGAATGGGCTCGTTCCTGGAGAGGCTTCAGTGGTGTTGGTGCCAGCTGTGCCAGGTGTCCGATGATCCCGTTTGGGTTTCTCATTGGCGGGTTTGTCATGAATCTGCCAACACGTATCCCGAGTTTGGTCAGAACAGCGACAGTGGTCACACTAGGGCGGCCTTGGCGTTGGCGGTTGTCTGTGGATGGAATATGAGCAGCAAGTGCCGACCCGTCGAGGGCTGTAGTGGATAAGGAAGCACCTAACATGACCTTTTGGCGACTCTCTTCGCGGCGTATATCAGAGAAAGTTTCACGAATTGTTGGAAGAGGTTTCAAATTCAAAATCTGTGAGCGAGTCTGGTCAAACTTAGATTTGAGGCCGAGAAGAAATTTGAAGGTGCGTTTCTGTCCTATGATTTGGCGAAATATGACAGTCTTCGGGACACTTCCAAGGGAACACCTCAAATAGATCTAGTTGCTGCCAATACCGAGTAAGAGTATTGAAGTATTGGGTGACGGAGAGATCACCTTGACGAAAGTCATGAAGAATGGTCTCAACAGCAAAAAGTTCACTTGTATTGTCCGCATTAGAATAGGTCTCACGGGCAGCATCCCAGATTTTCTTAGCCGTGCCATAGAGAAGAAAATTTTCGCCAATATCAAGTGTCATCGAGTTAACAAGCCAGGCCATAACCATATTATTCTCGGATTTCCAAGTCTTGTATGACGGATCTGTCATCATCGGAGCTGGAGCATCACCAGTGAGGTAGTCATCTTTGTCTTTGCCGCATACAAACATCACGACTGACTGCGACCATTGGAGGTAATTTAGGCCGGTGAGTTTATGGCTGGTGATGAGGACAAAATTACTGCCTAAATTGTTGGGCAATGGAGACCTAGCCGCGGAGGGGTGGCTAGAAGTGACATCACTAGTGGAGAAGGAGTTGCAGGCATGGCCGTACTTGGTCATTGAGCTCGGCAAGAACTGGTTGTGCTTAGTCGCGGAAGAAGAGTCGGCGATCGTGACGATCGAAGAGACGATTGCGGAAGACGATTGCGGTCGAGGAAGACGATCGCGGAAGACGCGGAACTGGTTGTGCTCGGTCGCGGAAGACGCGGAAAACGACGCGGGAGACGATCCCGGAAGCTGACGCAGACAATCGCGAAAGCGGACGCGGACAATCGCGAAAGCCGGCGCGGACGATCAGATATGGAGCCGCGATCGGTCGATTGGACGAGGAGCGGCGCTCGGATGCGGACGATCGAGGCAGACGTAAACTAGGGCAGCTCTCGGTCAAGGACGATCGCGGGAGAGAAAGGCCGTGATCCAACCGAGCGGGAGAGACTTCTCTTTGATAGCTCTGATACCATGTGAATTTTGAATAACCTTTTTTCTCACTGAATACATAGATAATTTGCCTATAAATAGGTGAGTACAAGAGATAAAAAGAGGAAAGAGAGGAAAGAAATCTTATCTTCCTACAATTAAGTAATTTCTATAATTATGGAATAAACATAAATACCTATAATTAAGGAATTACCATTTTTATACCATGACAAAATATAACAAGTACTAAATAGAATAACGTAAATAATAATGAACGTAATTCCACAAATTTAGTAGTGCATCCACTTGAGTTTTGGTTCTTCATATCTCTATCATTGATTCAATTTTAGATTTCTCAACTATTCTTTGGAAGAACCATACCTTTTCAGTTCATTCCTATGATTGCAAGTGCTTCAATTATTAACCTTATGGTGTGTCTCCCTTCAATTTTGTGCAAAATTAGATCTGTATCTTCCTTTTTTTTAAATTAATGCAAGTAAAACAACCTTAATAAAACGTTCTTTATTGGTAGGAATCGGAGGAGTTTTTCATAGAAATTAGGGCAAACAAAATATTTTATTCCAATAATATCAAACATCGCAACTCAAAGAAATAAAAGTTAAGTACCTACAATTTGAGTGGTAGGCGATTTCTCCTCCCAAACTTTAACTTTATGATTTTAAGAACTATCTCATAGCACAACAAAACCCTAACCTATTAAATCATAAAAAATAAGCAAATGACTAAATTTCCTCGTGCCTAAAATAAGTCTTCAAGCTATTCAAGCTATTTTGGCGGGATCGGTATTGCAAAAAATATCGCAAATGCCGGTGTAACAATACTTCTCTCCCAATAAGACACATTGTCCTCAAGGTGAAAAATTTATTTTTTGGATTAAGTTGTATAGCTCCCACATTAGGTCATAATCTGGTCATAGCTCCCATATTAGCTCCCACATTAGGTCATAATCTAGTGAATACCGTATTGTTCGCATCTATTAGTTACATTTGAATTGGATGGTATCTTGATTTAAGTCAATTTTGGAGAATATCGCAACACCAAACAACTTATTCAACATCTCATCAATTACCGTAGTGGGAAATTTGTTAGGTATTGTTTTCTTGTTCACTGCACAATAATCCACGCATAAATGTCATATCCCACCCTACTTCTTCACTAGCAAGACTAGACTAAAGGAGGGGCTCACACTAGGCTCTATGATCCCGACCTCCAACATCTCTCGAATCAATCTGTCGATCTCATTCTTCCGTATTTGAGGGATTGTGGTATGGACACAAACTGATGGGAGAAACCCTCAATTTCAAGATTATTGCAAGCTCATATTCCCTCTGAGGCAGCAATCGACATGAAAAGTGAAAAACCTCTGCCAATTGTTGTAGGAACTATTGGATTAGTATTAGAATCACTACAAACTTCATATTAGATGTCTCTTCGCTTCTTTTATAAGTCTGGCTCACCCCATAATCAATGCTCACATCCTCATATGCTCCTGAATTGCCTTCCTTCTGGAAGGCTACTGCAACAAAAGGCATTAGGGAGGTTGGATGCAATCCTTTACCTTGGGGTCCTATCCCCTCATGGTTCCCTGTCATAGGCCGAAAGCATTCAAATCGATCTTCTCCAGCCCCAAATCACATTTCGCCCCGTTCAGCCTACTGCCGCTCTTTCCAAATCATCAGATGTGCAATTTCCTCTAGGTGCTATCACTCGAATTCACTCTCGAGTCATTCGCTTGATCCCGTCTGCTTCAATTTGTTCTTATCATTTGAATGTCAAACTACTCCTACCAAATACTACCTCTCGAGTTTGTTCCCGATTCCTTTGCTCGATCTCACATCTCTAGATCCGCTAAAGCAACGACACTGCCTGATGCGCACAAATCCTTCAGATTTTTGCTACTCGAGTTTGCACTAGATATCGTTGCTCGATCTTGCAGTGGGTGGAGACAGTTTTGTGTGAAAATCTACGATCATCTTCATCATTTCTTATACAAACATGAATCTCCCCTTGAGTCGCCTTTCTATGGACGATAATTCCGCCTCCATTTCATATGTGATTTGGCTCGCCCCTTCCTAACTTTTCCTCCATTATGTTTTTTTTTTTTTGGCCAACATCACTCACAAAACAATTTTTTACCATGAAAGCGAAACTCTTGTATGCCTCGATCCCATCTTTGGTTTCCCAGTTAAGTTTAATTGCAATAGTATCACAAGGTTCAGTCATGAAGGCATTGTTGGCTTCCCAAAAGTAAAATTGTGACTGTATTGCGAGGTTCAGTCACGAAGGCGTGCACCTATACGCCGCGATCCTGCCCTTAGCTTCCTAGCTATCTCAAAATGCTATTGTATTGTGAGGTTCGGTCATGACGACAGATCTTGCACGCTGCAATCCTATCATAGGCTTCCCAACAGTTAGGTCATGAAGGCTATTGTATCTCGAGGTCCAGTTCTCTCTGTAAGTTGCGATCTCTTCTTTGCTTCTCATAATCGAATGCTTTGATATCAATTTGATAGAAGTCAGAGGATTTTTCCATAGAAATTAGGGCAAACAAAATATTTAATTTGAATAACACCAAACAACACAACTCAAATACATAAAGGATGAACGCATACAATTCAAGAGGTAGACCATATCTCTCAAACTGTAACTCTTAACACTCAAGACACAATATCATAGCATAGCATAAATTAATGTTAAAACATATTTATAACCCACAATAATAACTGACAAATGTCTAAATTGCCACTTTTAGTCTTATGCCTAACATACATCATCAAACTGCTTTGGTGTGCTCGGCTTGGCATAAAACGCTATAAGTGCGTTTCTAACATATACTTACCTAGATATTGTACAATTGAGGGTGTAATTAAAGCTGTAACCATCAGCATAATTATTTATTAAAAATTTAATTAATAATTTTTATTAATTTGTATTTGTAAGATAAGAGGAAGATTACATTTCTAAAGTACAGGTGGAATGGGGAATGTAACATAGGTTTCTTTCTTCTTTAACCAGCAATAAAATTAAACTTGTAGAGAACCATTTAAAATTTGCTATGCTTGTGCTTGTATCATCAAAGAAAATGGTTGTTATAGCTTAACTGCTTTGATATTTTTTTTCTATGGCCTTTTGTGTTGCAGTAAATTGCAATATACGGCTCTGCTTTCTTACATTATCCAAAATTTTACTTGTTTAAACAGTATTATATGGATAAATTCACAAATTCACGGCATACTATTGTGAGATAGGTCACATGGTATTCTGATGCTAAATCTTGGTTGGACATTTAAATGCCTTGGTTTTTTTTTTTTTTTTTTTTTTTTTTTTTTGGTTACCACTTCTAATTTTTAATTATTGACTTAGTATTTTGCTACTCATATGTCAGGGTTTTTTGTCACTATCTGGATAGCAGCAGTGATGTTCAAATCTAACGACATATTACGGAAGCAAACTGCTTTAAAGGTGCTGTAAATTTTGCTAAATTACATTTTAAAAGCTTTTGACAATGCCGACTCGTTGTTGCGGCTTTCTCTATCTTTAACTAATTTTGCAGAAAAACAATTTTGAATATAACTTATCTGCTTTTAACATCAAATGCATTTTCTTAGCTAGAATTGATGGCAGAGTATTGTGAACTCTGCTTGAATACTTGAAGGGAAGCCCATGAAAATAATTTTAAAACTTCAAAGATATTCTTGCAAATAGAGTAATGTTATTCACAATGCTTTTCAAATAATCTTGTTCTCTAATTAGGAAGTAATATTAGCGCAAGCATACCATTTCCAATGGCTGTATCCCATCTTTGATATGTTTGTTTTACAGTGAAGTTGTTTAGGTAGACCCAAGCATGCATAAAAAAAATAATAAAAAATAATAAAAATAATAAAAAAAAGTTTAGTCACTCTGTTGAGCATTTTGTAAATTATTTACCTACTGAACTAGCTGCCTATGTTAAGTACTGGTTTTGATAACAAGCACGAATTAAACCATCTCTGTTTCAATTTTTTTTAAGTTGAAAGCTTCAGCCTCTCTCAGAACTTTTTTAGCTTGGCACTCGCTGAACTTGTTTGTTAAAGTTAGAAAAAAGGTTTTAAAAATTATTTGCTAGCACTTGCATTCTGCGTCATATCATTTGTTTTATTTTGCAGGGGGAAAGGAAAATGCTAGTGCTTGTCGTAATAACAGTGGTTTTCATGCTTCATGTCTTTGGCGTATACTGGTGGTATAGGAATGATGATATTTTGAATCCACTGGTGCTACTCCCCCCTAAGGAAATTCCACCATTCTGGCATGCTATATTCATAATTTTGGTGAATGGTATTTCTCGGCTCTTTTTATTTGGGTTACGCTATCCCGTGTTAATAAGAATGCATGCCGTCAAATATTTGTTTAGAATTATTTCTTTGGTATGTGATTAGAGGATGCTCTTTTTAGCCCTTACTTACGCTTAGTGGAAGTACATAACTTTCTATAAAAGGTAAAAAAATAAAATTTTTAAAATAAAAAAAATTAAAAATTAAAAAATTAAAAAAAAAACTTTTTATGAAAGGCAATTTAAATTGTTATAAGTGGAGACTGATTTGGTGAGCAGTAGAACAGAGCACTCAACGCCTATGCGCTACTCGATTAAGAGCCCACTTGAATGTTGTTCGAACAAAGAAGCCAACGCATATGCACTCGTATAGGCGTCTGTTTCTCGAGAGCTTGACACATAAGCGTCAGCGGTTGGTGTTGGGAATTGGTTTTTAATTCCGATTTTGAGCGGTGTAAGGTACGGTTTGGTGTATATTTCTTTGGTATTTTTCGACGAGCATCTCGGTGAAGATGAGGAATGTCGAAGAGATTTATTTCAGTGTTGTTTTTTGTGTCAAATCGGAGAGAGAAAATTGTGGAGCGAGTTCTGTAAGTTTTCTTTGTGTGTGGAAAGAAAACTTGTGTGAGTTCTTTGTAAAACCTTATGAATTTCATAATAGAAATTTTCGGTGGTTCGCTTTGTGGTTTTGTCCCGTTCTTGGGGTTTTTCACGTAAATTCTCGTGTGATTTTTTGATTGTTTTCATTGTGCTTTTGTTTTAATTTTTGCTCTACTTTTTTATTGAATTGGTGAAATCCCATTATTCATTTATTTTCTAATTGATCTTAATCCCTGGTAAAATTGGGAATTGTTTATTGTGAGATTTCCTATCAACTAGTATTAGAGCGGACTTCGATTCGAGTGCGAGAAATGACCAAAGCAAGGTTCAATGTGAAGAAGTTCAATGGGACAAACTTCGCTTTCTGGAAGATGCAGGTAGAGGATTTGCTGTATCATAAAAAGTTATACTTGTCAATACAAGGAATCACAAAGAAACCTAAATCTATGCCTATGAAGGAATGGGACGTGTTGGATTGAACGATACTTGATTTGATCAGATTGGCACTTTTCTTATCTATTGCATTCAACATTGTGAATAAGAAAACTACGGTAGATTTCATGGAGGCACTGGCCAAGATGTACGAAAAACTTTCTGCTTTTAATAAGATTTTTCTGATGAAGTTATTCAACATGATGATGGTGGAAGACAGTTCAGTGGGGGAACATCTCAATAACTTTAATACTGTGACGAGCTAGTGGTGCTGTGTAGGGATCAAATTTGATGATGATGTCAGAGCACTGGTGACAATATCTTCATTTTGAAAAGTTGTGATGGCTTGTTAATGATGGTGAAAAATTCTTCAGGGACTTCGAAGTTGAACTTCGATGATATCTTGGGTCTTTAGGTTTGCAAAAAAACAACAAATGGTGAATCTTTAGATTCTGCATTTAATGTTGATAATAGGGGAATAAATCAGGGCTGGAATACAAATAGAGACTGAGCAAAGTCCAAGGAAGGAAATCCTAAGTCAAGCAGAGGAGAATTCTGAAATTGCAGTAAGAAAGTAAATTTCAAGAAGGAATGGAAAACTCTAAGAAAAGTTGATGGTGGAGGACAGAAAAGTAGTTTATCTACTAATGTCTTCATTGGTGAAATCCGAAGGGACTTCCTGGTGTTTCATAATCAGTACTGAATCCTGGATAATAGATTCAGATGTATCTTTTCATTTTTGTCTTAATAAATAAATATTTAAAAACTACACTCAGAGTGATATAAGAAAAGTTTATTTGGGAGATAACAAGGCCTGTAGTATTGTTGGAACGGGTGATGTTGATATCAAGTTGCTGAATGAAACAGTTTGGAAGTTATATGAGCGAGAAATGTATCTCCATCACCCGTTCCAACAATATAAATTTCTCTAAATAAATCATATCATCTTTAGACTGTTCAATATAGCCTTTATCACTGTTCCATATAGCCTTTATCACTGTTCCATATAGCCTTTATATGGAACAGGTGATGGAGATACATTTAGGAACAATGATGAAGGCTATATGGAACAGGTTATGGAACAGTGATAAAGGCTATATGGAACAGGTGACAGTGATAAAGGTTATATGGAATGGGAGATTTATCTTTAGACTGTTCCATATAGGGAAATTTATATTTAAAAACTACACACAGAGATAAGATTTATCTTTAGACTTTGATATCAGCCGGCAAAGTCAGGACTCATGACTACTTTCACAGGTGATTTGTAGAAGGTGACCAAGGGGGCTTTGGTGATGGCTCGGAACAACATTGAAGACACCCTTTATCTAGTCAATGAAATGACTGATTTCATTGATGTGATTGAAACCAGGGTGGATGTAGGTATGTGACACTGTAGGCTTGACTATATGAGCGAGAAATGTATGGAGTCCCTACTTTCAAAAAATAAAATTCAGGATCTAAAAGCAGTTGATATGGATTTCTGTGAAAACTGTATATATGACAAACAGAAGAATGTTTCTTTATCCAAGAGTGAGTCGGTGGTGAAATCAAAGAAACTAGAGTTAGTGCATACTAATATATGGGGTCATGTTTCTGTTCAGACCATTGGAGATTCTCTCTATTTTGTTATGTTTATTGATGATCACACAAGAAATGTATGTTTCTTTTTTAAAGCAAAAAATTGATGTATTTGAAGTCCTTAAGAAATGGAAGACTATGATGGAAAACGAGATAGACTTCAAGCTGAAGTGTCTCAGATCAGATAATTGAAGTTGGTACTGTGATTAAAATTCTAGAATTTCTATGCTACAGAGGGGATCAGGCATGAGTTCACTGTCCCAAAGACACCACAACAGAATGGTGTGGCTGAACTTATGAACAAAGCAATCACAGAGCGTGCTAGGAGCATAATACTGCATGCAGGCTTGCCAAAACAGTTTTGGGCTGAAGCAGTTAATACAACAGTTTATCTGATAAACAGTAGTCCATCGATACCTTTGAAGGAAGGCTTACCTGAAGAAGCATGGAGTGACAAAAAGGTATGTCTATCTAATTTAGAGTATTTGGTTGTTCTACATATGTGTATGTTGATGTGGGTGCAGGAGCAAGCTTGACTCAAAATCTGTCAAGTGCACCTTTATTGCATACGACTCAGATGAGTTTGGGTATAAGTTCTGGGATTATCAAAATCAGAAATTTATTAGGAACAGGTAGTCACATTCAATGAAATGGAGATGTACAAAAACAGGATTAGAACTCCGAATATTTCGTCAGCTACTTCTGAAGAATTCAGATATGTGGAAATAGAAGATAGTGGTGATCAACATGATGGAGAAAGAATAAGTGCTCAACCAAAAGCAGCATTTAAAGTTCCTCGGTCACCTGCTACATCATTCAGGAGATCCAGCAGAGTGAAACAACCCTTACAAAGTTATTCTCATTCTTTACACTATTTATTTTTAACCGATAGTGGTGAACCAGAGTGCTTTGAGGAGACCACTCAAGTTGAAGTGTCAAGGGAGTGGGTGCTCGCCATGTATGAAGAAATGCAATGTTTAGAGTCAAATCAGACTCTGGATTTGATGGCACTGCCAAATAGCAAAAGAGCAATGTACGACAAGTGGGTCTACAGACTGAAAGAGGAGTCAGATGGTAGCAGGACTTGTTGTAAAGAGTTTCCAGCAGAGGAATTGAGTGGATTACTTAGAGATCTTCTTCCCAGGGTGAAGATGATTATTGTCAGGGTTATGTTGAGTCTGGTTGCAGTGGAAGATCTTTCTCAAGCTGATGGATGTAAAAATAGCTTTTTTACATAGAGATTTGGAGGAGAAACCGTACGTAGTGCAATCACAAGGTTACAAGGTTTCAGGAAAGAATGCTTGGTTTGCAGATTGAAGAAGAGTCTCTATGACTTGAAGCAAGCCCCGAGACAATGGTACAGGAGGTTTGACAGGTTCATATCAAACAATGAGTACATGAAGTGTCAGACAAACCACTGTTGCTTCATGAAGTGTCAGACAGGTTCATGTCAGACAGTGGGTACTTGACGTGCCAAACTGACCTTTAGCAAAATGTTTGAACTTGGAATGCAGTATAATTTGATAATTCATTTTCTTTCCCGATATAGTTTTATGTGGTGATGATTATTTTATACTGATTAAATTTTTTCTTTTGGTTTGAATATGTTTGTTAGAGATCATTATTAGCGCCTCACTCTACTTGGGTAAGCATTTATTGTGGTGTTTTGTTTATCTCCATGAAAATGCTTAACATTTTTTATAACTTTTTTCTTCAAATTAGATGCCCTCAACTCTGTCCCATGTGAACTATGGAAAGTTATTTTTATATTTTTTACTGCCCTAATGTTTATTACAAAGAAATCATATCTAGCCTATATTAGTGTTTTCTTTACTGCGATGTATGCTTGTTTCTCCTTTTTTTTTTTTTTTGGTCTTTCTTTATCCCACGCACATCCCTGGATGTATTGAATTACTTGCGTGTCCTAGAAGAAACTTATTTCTCTAGTAGTTGACAATGTCACTCGTTATGCATGTTCTTACAAGTGTTAAGTTTCATGAAGTTAAATATGGATTCAATGTGGTTTTATACCTGGTTGAAGCTTAATCTTTTATTTCAGAATCTGTAAGGTGTATATTAACAGTTTTCATCTATTAATCGTTTTCAGACACAATGGTTAGACAGGCAGCTATGGTGTTAAAATGTGTGGTGTTAATGTGCTACAGGAACAATAGAGGGCGAAGCTATCGTAAGCAGGTAATTTCTTTTTACTTGGTCTAGAAGTGATTTAGCCCGTGGGATTCCTATATAATATTAAAGCTTGTGTTAAAGTTCTGAGAGTTTTTTTTATTTTTTGCTTCATAACGATATATGTACTACTATAAGTAATTGAGTGGCCGGCGTACCATTTCACAAATTAGGAAACTGAAATTTTTTTAAATTAGGAATCCCATACAATTATGAAACCAGAAAAAGAGGAAATATTTAAAAAAAGAAACAAATAAATCTTAAAATATATACCGAGTGGAGAAAATAATTTTTTTCCTAATAGTAGGTGGGTTACTTCCAACACTCGTCAAGTTGGGTTATATATATTATACAGGCCAAACTTGGAATTCAATGTATCATGTTTTGGTGAGAATAGTAGTAATCTAAAGTTTTGTTGGAACATAGCTAAGCTAGAAAATTATGTTGTTAACCTTTTTTGAGTTGAAGTGTAAGTCAATCTCAATGTGTTTTGTTCTGTCATGGTGCTCAAGATTTTGACTATACTAATAGCTGCTTGACTATCACTAAAGATCTTAATTTTTTCCTTTTTCTCAACCTTAAGTTACCTTAATAGTTATTGAAGCCACATTCCTTCACATATTCCTAGTGCAAGTGCATGATATTCATATTTTGCACTACTATGAGAAACAAATGTTTTTTTCTTGCTTCTTCATGTGATGAGATTCCTCTAGACGTATGAACAATACCCAATGGTTGATTTCCTATTAGATACCTCTCATGCCCAACCAGTACTTGTGTATATCTCAATATCGCATTTACAGATTTTGAAGCGCAAATCATAGCCAGGAGTCATATTCAAATATTTGAAATTTTTGTTCATTGTTTCCAGATAATTCTTATATAATATCTGTGATAGGTAGATCAATTTTTCCACAAGTTTTTGATAACTTCCTTTATCAGTTGGATTGCTTTTTACACTTACATTCACCTTTTTGTTGGGATTCATGGGTGTGTCAGTCGGGTTACACCCAAACAAACCAGTTTTATTTAACATGCTTAAGTTACTTTATTTGAGATATGAAAATTCTCTTCTTAGATCGAGTCGTCTCCATTCTCATAAAATATCCGAGAGTTCCAAGGTCTTTGGATCTTAAATTTTTTTACAAGTATTCTTTTTAGTCTAATATATATATTTTTTGAATTGGTACTTGTTAAAATAATATCTACATATACTATGAGAATATCAATTTTGCATCTAGGATTGAGTTTAACAAATTGTGTATGATCATCTTGACACCGATGATATTAGTTTGTAATCGCCGTCCTAGCAAACCAGTCAAATCAAGTAGAGGAGATGTCTTCAGGCCATATAAGTACTTCTTCAGCTTGCAAACCAACCTATTGTTCAACCTATTTTCTAAACCTAGAGGTAGTAATGTAGACTTCATCATCAAGGTTCTTATTCAAGAAAGCATTTTTGATATCTAGGTTGTATAAATGTCAATCTTAATTTACTTGAAGAGAGAGTAGAACCCGAACAATATTGATCTTGGCAACAAACATAATGTTTTCTTGGTAGTCAATCTTTTATGATTGTGTGAAGCTCTTGGCTACCTATCTTGCTTTGCGTCTCTCTTCACTTCCATTTCCTTTGTATTTAACTGTGAATATCCATTTGCAACCTAAATGATTTTTTCTATGAGGTGCGTGTCATTTGTTATTATTTTATAGAGCCCGATTTTTTTCCTCAACTCGTTGTTTCTATGTTTGAATGTTTAGAGCTTCTTGAATAGTATTAAGAACCTACACACTAACAAAATTTGTTACAAAAATCCTATAAGATGGTAACTTTTAATAAGCTACATATCTTTCAATTGGATGATCAGTGCACCTTTGTACATGAGATGAGGAATCTATACCACTATGATTATCAAATGCAGGAAGACTTAGTTTAGGTTCTTGTTAGTTCTACATGCTCAATGGCTTATTTTCTTCTTGTATAAACACGAAGTTCTTGATCGCTAGTGTCAAGTTGAGGTGGAGTAGAGACAATTGGGTTAGTTTTAGCGACAGAGTTTAGTTCTTCAAGTGTAGCTAGTTAAGTGATAGGATTTGATTCAATTATTTGATTGACTAAATTTGATTCATTTTGAGTGTCTTGGAGAAGATCCCAAATTCAATATTTCCTCGAGTTCTCTCTTTGAATTTTAGATTTGGGAAAGATTGATTCTCAAATAAGATGTCATCCCTGGAGTTATCCCTTTTCCTACCAATTTGAGTAGCATTTGTATTCCTTTTGTGAAGGAGTAACCGAGAAAGATACATCTGTGAAATTTGTGATCAAGTTTGGTGCAGTGTGTTGGTGGATGTCCAGAGAATACTTTCAATTGTTAGCTCGAGAAAAAATAGCAGATATGTGAATAAAATTCCATTATAAAATTATGAGGAATTTGGATTTTAAACATCAACAGACATTCTATTGATAAGATGTGGTTGGAGTGTGGCTTCCCCCCAAAAATATTTTGGCACATGAATAAAGATCATAATGGCATGGGCCACTTTAATTAAATATCTATTTTTTCTTTCAGCGGTCTCATTTTGTTGAGTGCCTGCACAAGAATTTATATGGATGATACCATGCTTGGGAAACTAAGGAGCAATATAATAATTAAAATATTTCTTAGTATTATTAGTTGTGGGCTCCAAAAATTCAACGCCTCGAACTCTCATCATTGTTGTTATGAGGGCCTTTATGTTTGGTATTCCTGGTCAAAATTTTAGAAGACGGATTGGATTGTAGATAAAACACTATCCAAAGTTATTGCCCCATTTTGTGAGGTCTTTTTGATCTGGGTTTGAGATTTGCTAGAGACACAAGCTAACATAGGTTTGAATCCTCCCCTCTTCATAATAAGAGAACTTTTTCGAATAAGGCTAGTGTAGTAGCAGCAAACATAGAGTTTTAAATTGTAAATTCATCACATTGAGCTTAAAGCGGATGGTGGCGGGAATGTTAACAAAACAGATCAAAATTCTATGATTTTGTCATACGAGGTAGCCGACTCTACCTAACTAAAGGATCATTATTAGGAATCATGGGTTGCGTCGTTCAAGGGACCCCTAAAGATCTAGCGTGATGTTTGTCTAAGGGAACAAATTGTCAACCTTAGCTTGCATTAGCTTCTAATATAATGTATGCATGCTATATTGGTAAAAGATACCAATGAATGGAAGCTATAACTTTTCTATTACAAAATTTCTTTCAGGGTCAAATGTTAACTCTTCTGGAATATTTTCTCTTCTTGTACCGTGCATTATTGCCAGCACCTGTTTGGTATAGATTTTTCCTTAACAAGGAATATGGGAGCTTCTTTTCATCTCTTATTACCGGGCTATACTTGACCATCAAGTTGACAACTATTGTTGATAAGGTATTAAAATGGTGGTCTGTTTAAGCTAATTATGTATTCTGGATAATTTTATTATGTTTGATGTTCAATGATCTGAAATACTTTGCAGATTCATTCATTCCTTGCAGCAGTGAAGTCTTTGTCTTGTAAAGATGTGCATTATGGGTCACATGCAACAGCAGAACAGGTCAAATATCCACCCCTTCTTATTAATTTTTATCTTGTAACTTTATTAGGAATTCGGATCCTTGTCAGTTGCTGATACAACTCCTGGTCATTCAATCCACTTTGGATGGCTTTGCATTTAGGATTGCAAAAGGTCGGATGTGAGGGTCGTTTGGTTGCTTGAAATTACCATGATTTGAAAAATGATGATGTTTTAAATGCCAATTATTTGGTTGGATGGACTATTATTGACTTTAAACTCCACAAAATTTTGTCAAAACTCTCTCCAAAATTATGATTCCATTTTTATGCTTAAAATGAGTGAAAATGATACCGGAGTTAACTCATATCACAATAGGAAAAATAAATATTATTACTGAAAAGTAAATCATCGTTTACAATCAAACACACTTGAAATGTAATGACAATAAACATGACACAAGTCATACCAGGGCTCGATCCACGCCATTGAAGGTCGGCTAGGTTATTGGGGAGTGGAGGTAGAGGGTTGAAATTGGTTGCGGGTGGTTGTGACACCAAGAGGGGCTGGAATTGCATTGGCAGCTAAGCGGAGGGCTGTGACAGCTAGGGGCAGCGAATAGGAAGGGCTGTGGCTTGTAGGATAGCAAAATGAGTGTTGCCCAATGCGGGGGCAGCAAGCGGTGACTGCAGTTAGGCTGCGGGAGGTGGTTCCAGCTGCTGGGACAGCAGCGAGGAGGCACGGGGAATGGTTGCGGGCAGCGGGAACAATAAGGGCAGCACAGGTGAAGTGCTGGAACAGCGGCTAGGCTGCAGGGGTGCAGTTCAGGTGTCTGGAACAGCAGTGGACAGCAGGTAGAGTGGGAGAGGATGGCTGAAACAGAGCTGGATCGCCGGGCGCAGAGGTAAACACAGCGTCTGAACTGTTTTCTAGGGCGATAGCATGGTGGGAGTGGCTGGAAAGGATGTCAGTAGGTGGAGGAGGTGGTGGTTGGCAGTCGTAGCTTCTGGAAGACAGTAGGAGTGCTGTCCGATGGTTCCAACAGCGAGGAAAGGCGGTGGCGACAACGAGGGGAGGTTTGTGGAGAATGGGAAGTCGAAGAAAAATACCCCCGTGAGAAGAGTTACAGCTGGAGCACCACTTGACCCCTTGAAAGGAGATCACCACGTCAAATGAGCTACAGTCGGTGCACCATCTGTCATTGGATACACCCTAAAAGGGAGAAAGAAGACGCTGATGGCTGTCCCGACAGAGAACATACGCCATAACAAAAATCTTAAACACAAGAATTAAATATATAAGCCATAAGTAATTAGGGCTTATATAACAATTCAACACTTTAGATAAAGCTCTTTTCAATACTATAATTATGAAGATCTTTTATGTACCTAGTTTTTCTAAAAATTAATTTTAGTTTGAAGAATTGTAACTTTGCATTTTTCCTTTAACTTTTTAGAAATTTTTGTTTGTTTGTTTGTATTACAAAATTTAAATTTGATAGGATTTTACTTATTCCTTTAACTTTGTGTTATTCTTTTAATTTATGAAATATTCTATTCATGATGTGATGAATGTTCAAGTTGGCATTAAAATATGTGTTATAAGTAAAAATTTCTCTATGTTGTTGCACCGGAGATTCAGACATATCTCTTTGGATAGGAATTAAAAGATTACGGTTTGTTTAGGAACACTTTCTGTTTTCTATTTTAATTTCATTTTTAGTATTTTATTTTTATTTTGTTTTTTATATTCTATTTTTTAGAAAATGCATTTGGTACTGTTATGATTTATATATTTTTAAAAATTAAAAATATAAAACATGATTAGTATAGTATCTTAATTTGTTTGTAAGGAAAAACTACACTTTTTATAAATAGTTAGGTTCATATGTGCTTCAGTATTAAGCTTTGTCGTCCATGACGTATATGACGCCTTCTTTGCTCCACCTAGCACAAAACATTACTTGTGGGCGGATGGAAGACTAGTGGCCTGCCGATGACAGGTGGGCAGGAGAAGGCGGCAGTTGTGGAGGGCGATGTCGGTTGCAGGTGGGCGGAGTTAGGCGGAATATGATTCACTACCGATGGATCCCGATGAAAAATTTCTTGATCTTTCTAATATTGTTTCCATAAACAAAGCTCACTACCAGCGTCTTATGAGAAAACTCATATATCTTATCCATAGACACCAGACATGTCACGTAGCTAGGAAAAATCAATTCATGCATGCTCCTTATGAGTACCACATCCAAGTTGTCCATTAGATTCTCCACTATTTAAAAGACATACCAGACTCATGTTTATTTTTTTCTTGCCACACCTCTCATTCTATTGCAGTTTACACAAACATAGATTGGATCGGGTCCGTCCATGATCAACGATCTATCTCGAGGTACTTCTCATTTGTGTGGGGTCTGGTCATGTGGAAAAACAAGCAGACTGTAGTTGCTCGGAGCAGTGCAAAAGCTGAATTTTAGTCCATGTCTTTGAAAATTTGTGAAGCTCTCTAGTTACGTATCATGCTCCATGAATTTTGTATGTCACGTCGCTCCCCTATAGTTGTTCTGTGATAACAAGGCTATCATTAGCATTGCTCACAACCCAGTCCAACATGATCGAACCAAACATTTTGAGATTGACTGTCACTTATTTAGGAAAAGCTCAAGTCCAAAGAAACTTTTGTTTTGTTTGTGTCATCTAGTGACTAGCTAGCAAATATTCTTACAAAGAACTTTCATCGACCACTGTTCAATAATTTCAAATCCAAGTTGAATATGACTGATATATATGCTTCAACTTGAGGGAGAGTATTATAATATTGTAATATTAATATGCAAATTTCTATATTAATTACTATGATTTGCTTTTATTTACTTTTATTCTATTTTAATTTGTTTCTGTTGAAGCCAAATTTGTCATTTAGCTCGTGCCTAAGGGATAGAACGCAAAATTCGAGGGAAGGAGAAAATAGAGTGAGAGAAAGAGTTGCCCCATCTAGGAGGCAAATAGGGGTGTTCCGGGGATCTTTAGCCTCTTTTATTCCACACAACTTGAAAGTTACAAGTGGGAAAAAGAGAAGAGTTCTCTTCTACATGGGGTTGAGAGAGAGAGAGAGAGCTTAGGGGTCCCCTTTTTACATCTAGGAGCTCTCTTTTTATAGAGAGAAAAGGAGAGGAAAAGAATGTTACATTTATGCTCCTACTTTAAGGGGACTTGTGAGGGGTATCATGGTTCTTTCCCTGCTTATCCCTACTTAGATTTGTCTCCCTGGAGCGTTATTGTTGCTAGATTCGTTGGCTTCAGGTGGCCGGCCCAAGATGATTGGTCCTTTGGCGGTCAACCTTCGGTGGTCAGCCCTTCATGGTTGGTCCTTTGACGGTCGGCCCCTTAGTGGTCGGTTTTGATGGCTGGCTGATCAAAGTAGCCGGCCAGTTCTAGCTTTCCTCTGTCCCGCAAAAGCAAAGGTTGAAGCCCTTCTTTGCTTCATGTTCTCAGGCGGCAACGATCACCACTGTCGGATTTGTCAAAGTATGAGTGGACATTTTTTGGTCATACATAAAGGTCCTTGAGTCTCTTACTTCTTGGAGCCGAAGTTGCGATAAGAATGAGACTTGAAGTACAAAAAATTTAATAACAAGAATGCACTAATTTCACTCTTTTTTTTTTGGTACTCTTTGCGTCTTGTCTACCAATTCTAAGAAATTCTTTTGGAGACGATCTTGAAGTTGGGGGAACATAGAGAATCCTTAATCCAAAACTATAGTTGGCTCCTTAGAAAGAATTTATTTTTTTTCATTTAATTTCTTGCCATTTTTTTACTTGTATTGACTACTCGGCTTGGGTTTTATGATGCCCGTGTCTCGTTTGCTTGATTAGTTCGTCACCCCAGTCGAACCACTTTTTTTGCTAGGTCTTAGGCAGATCCTATTACTGCCTTCGCGGGTGTAACCGTTGAGACTCGTTGTTTGGGTGATTTGTACCATACCCTTTGCGGAGCTTATCGATATTGGATAAGGAACCCCCTCCAGAGCTTTATCCATGTTGAGTTTGGAGACAAGCTTTCTTATGCTTGGTGTTGAGTTAGTGATTGTTATTTGCTCGTCCTGAAGGAGTCTTTTGTTTGCTCGTCCCGGAGGAGAATCTTTATGTACTCGTCTCGGATGAGAGTCTTTCGTTTGTTCATCCCGGAGGAGAGTCTTCATGTGCTCGTCCCGGAGGAGAGTCTTCATGTGCTTGTCCCGGAGGAGTCATGATGTGCTCATCTCGGAGCAGAGTCTTTTGTTTGCTCATCCTAGAGGAGAGTCTTCATATGTTCGTCCCGGAGAAGAGTCTTAATGTGCTCGTCTCGGAGGAGTCTTTATTTTCTCATTCCGAAGGAGAGTCTTTATGTGCTCCTCCCGGATGAGTCTTTTGTTTGCTCGTCTCGAAGGAGAGACTTCATGTGCTCGTCCCCGGAGGAGACTTCATGTGCTCATCTCGGATGAGTCTTTATTTGCTCGTCCCAGATGAGAGTCTTTATTTGCTCGTCCTTGATGAGAGTCTTTATTTGCTCGTTCTGGTGGAGAGTCTTTTGTTTGCTCCTCCGATTCTAATTCTCCGAGTGTCACATGTGAACTCTTCAAGTGCCCTCAATCTTAGTCGGACCTAGGAGATAACAAAACTAAAAGAGTTAACATATATATTTTAGAGAATAGAATATTTTTTTTGGATATTTTGGTCGCCTAGGTTTTTGGTCTTATGACTTTTTCGGCTGCCTAAATTGTCGGTCAGCTTATTTTTTCTCGGCTTTCTTTGGTTTTTTATTTTTCATTTGATCATGTCTCACCCGTGCTATTTTTTGAAGATTCAGAATCAAATATTTATATAATGTTATTATTATTATTATTATTATTATTATTATTATTATTATTATTATTATTAT